GACAAAGGCGAATAAAAAAACAGAAGGTCAACGTCGTAGGCGACAAATTAATCGCCAACGTATTACTGATGGTAATCGATTTTCAGAAGTAAATGTAGTTGAACAAGATTACATAGGATTAATGAACATATTATGCCAACTTTGTCAAGCAAAGCACTTCAAAGATGAAAAAGTTTCCAATAAAGGATTATCTTTTAATGACTGTTGTGGTCATGGATCAGTAATATTAGATCCATTTCCCGATTTTCCATCTGAACTTATTAATTTATTCAGTGGAGAACATGAAAAATCATCGATTTTCTTTGATCGTATACGTAATTATAATAATTCTTTATCTTTCGCTTCATTCAATGCTAATTTAGTCAATTTTCAAACCCGTAGATCAGGTCCATACTGTTTCAAAATTCATGGACAAATATATTATCAAATGAATACAGCTCTTTATCCAAGTGACTTTATCCGAAATCGCTAAATTTTGACCAAAAGAACCGTCGCATGAGCATCGCTCAAGAACTGTTGAATGACGTCAACGATGACCCAGATTTACTCAAAAGGGTCATAACTGGTGACGAATCATGGGTATATGGTTATGATATCGAAACCAAAGTCCAATCGTCCCAATGGAAGAGCCCAGATGAGCCAAGACCGAAAAAAGCACGCCAAGTTCGATCAAATGTCAAAGTTTTGCTCACTGTTTTCTTCGATTACCAAGGCGTGGTGCATCAGGAGTTCTTACCACATGGACGTACGGTCAATAAACAGTATTATCTTGAAGTTATGCGCCGTTTGCGAGAAGCAATACGAATAAAACGCCCAGAATTGTGGAAAAACAATTCATGGCTTTTGCATCATGATAATGCCCTTGCTCTCTTATCTTTGCTTGTGAGAGATTTTTTGGCCAAAAACAACACTACAATCATGCCTAAGCCACCATATTCACCGGATTTGGCCCCATGCGACTTTTTCTTGTTCCCAAAACTAAAGAGACCTATGAAAGGACGGAGATTTGCAACGATTGAAGAGATAAAGACTGCATCGCTGGAAGAGCTCAAGGCTATACCGAAAAGTGCTTATGAGAAGTGCTTTGAGTATTGGAAAAACCGTTGGCATAAGTGTATTGTATCTGAGGGGGATTACTTTGAAGGGGACAACATAAATATTGATAAATAAATAAATAGTTTTTCTTAAAAATATAAAGTCACCTTACTTTTTGAACACACCTTGTATATATAAAAGTACAATACATCATATTTCCATAGATTTATCCAGAGCTCATGTTTAAGTTAATTTTAAAGTACGATATTCGTTGTAACACACGTTACATCGTAAACATAAAAATAAGTTATATTATGTTATGTAGGTATATATGTATTCTGATCGATAATATCTATCGTGCATATCGACTACCGTCAGTAACATTATTTGCGGCTCCACCGGAAGATGGCACCCGTTTCGATAGTTACACGATGAGTATTTTGGGCACTTTCTAACGCCGACGACTTATACATTGTGCTTCCACTCCTGTATATAGTCTCCATGGTGCACTCACTCGTGCTTCAGCTTCAGTAGCAGCAAGAGTGACTTCAATATATAAGTGCCTTAGATTGTACCCTTTGTTAATAAAATAAGAGAGTATTATTATTAGAGAGTGAAACCTATCTGTGTCTATTTATTCTCAACTACCATCCAACAGGTTATGGACACCAGGACACGCTTCCATGGCGCAAAGAAAAGTAAAAGGTATTTATTGAAAAAGTGAAATTTTGAACGTCTGCCAATAAGGAGTGCACCGCATTCCCGGTTCGATGATCGTTCGTGCAAGAGACTGAAGCTTAGACTGACGTGAGAAAGAAAAAAAATTAGAGAAACAGAGTAAGTTTTAGAGACGATGGTAAACAAATTAATGTCGAAATAGCGAAACAGAAAAGTGCGATTTTTTTATCACGAAATTAAAATGATGGCATGCGAATTCGAGTAAGAAAGAGTGGAAAATAGAATCACGGCATTAGAGAAGGGCATAAACGTGAGTGATTCGGGAAAGATCTAGAGTAGTTGCAGTGCAAAGCCATTTTATAGAGTTGGTATCATTAGAGTCAGTCAAATAAAGTTCAACGCCCGGCTAGAAACACGTGTTAACAAGATTTCTGTCGACAAACACTTAGTGCGCATACGCCAACAGTAAAGACTATTAAAAATAGAGAGTGAGTGCGAGTCAGACAGCGAGTGATACTACGGTGCGTTCACAACGAGAGTTACGGCACACTACACAAAGTTCGTGCGTTGAGTGAACTTACGAAAATTGAGAGATGTTTACAATAGAAAATGTGACACCCTACATAAAATAGATACAGTTTGAGTGATTGATTCGAATCAAAGTGGAAACTCTGTATGAGACCCCATGCGCGTTTGTGTATGCTCTCACTGCAGTGAATATACTCGTATATCTACATGACTAGAGAATAACTTAAAAGAAATATTCTATATATATAATAACACTGACTTTTATATATATATATATATATATATATATATATATATATATATATATATATATATATATATATATATATATATATATGTGTGTGTGTTTGAACAATTTAGTTATTTCAGCACTTTTAGTGATTGATTGTAAGCCCTTTAGAGATAATTAGAGTACATATAACATAATCGAGTTAATAATTTAGAACATATATATAAAACCTTAATGAAAAATTTAAAAAAATTAGTACCATCTCCTATAAAGTCGAGGTTGTTGCGCTATGTATGGTTAACGCTTTATATGATTTTGACATTCAGTTCGATGATTAACTTGTTATTGCAAACATAAGCTATCGCCCATCCCGAGTAATTTACACTACGTATGGTCATCGGAAAAGGAGGGAACACGGGAGCAGTACTGATTGATCTGAAGATTATTTGTCGGTTTTCGACTGTATTTTTCGTGGCAGAATTTCGAATTCTCTCTCTCTCTCTCTCTCTCTCTCTCTCTCTCTCTCTCTCTCTCTCTCCCGTATGATTGTTAATCATTGTAAAATCCTATTCGCGTGCATTAGTCTTTCGGCCCATCAAAGGCTGTAATTTTCTAGTCATAAACGCTATTAATTTTATTCGCCGCATTACGTCATTTCGTTTCCTATTAGTTTAACGGATCTATTACGGATTAAATTTTAAACCGATTTCATCTAGGGGATTAGTCGGATTAAGCATTAGGTCACTCACACCTAAGATAAATGGAGTGTCACAAGTCAGATGACCTAAGGTGAGTTCAACTCTGTTAGAAAGAAGACACTGAAACGAAAGTATCAAACGTAAAGACGAATACACGTATACTCATACGTGTTTAACGGAGCGGCGGCTAGCTCTGCATCGTGGGAGTTTGCTCGTCAATAAATCCCTATTGTACTAGTTAATCTACCCCGTTACAAACTATGTCATATGTAAAAAATGAAATTAATTTTTTTTGCCAACTTTGATGCGATATAATTTAAAGGGGATTGATGGGAGGTAAAATCTGTCTTTATCATTTGAAAGCTTGTCCCAAATGTTACAAAACCCATGTCCGAAAAATTTTTTTTCATACATTTTTTTAGAGCTATATCGTATTTTATTTAAAAGCACATGTTATGAGTCTAAACGTTTTATCTCGGACAATAATCTGTTTACAAAAAAACTCTAAATAAAAGTTGTTGCATTTTGTCAACAAAAATCATTTATAAACATAAAACGATAAAAAAAAATTTTTTTTTTATTTCTTTTGGTTTGGAATTTTTACATTTTTGAAAAAAGAAACATTGAAAACTCAACTATTACGGTAAAGAAATAATGAGACCTATAAAAATGAGTTTCTAATTATAAATATTTCTATTTATTTGTATACTTCTTCATTACAAATTTTCAAGTAACAATTGTTTATAAAATAAATTTTTAATTAATAACGTTATAGAATTATAAATAATTTTTACATTTTAAATTAAGTCGCTGTGTAATATAAAAAATTTCAAACCCATAATATGAAGAAAAGAGAGGTATTTTTTATCGTTTTATAAGTTTATAATAGTTTTTTTTACCAAAATGAAACAACTTTTTTCTTTAGAGTTTTTTTGTAAAGAATATATTTTCCGAGGTGTAATAGTTTGATTTGTAACATGTGTTTTTTAATAAAATACGATATAACTCTAAAACATCGTATGAAAAAAAATTTTCTGGATATAGGTTTTGTAGCATTTGGGACAAGCTTTTAAATGGTAAAGCCAGATTTTACCTCCCATTAATATACTTCCCTTTAAATTATATCGCATCAAAAAAATCAATTTTATTTTGACATCTGACGTCATAGTTTTGGAAAAAAATTAATAAACAGACATTTAGTTTACGCCGCTTGATAGATACTAGAAAATTCTACGAAATAAGTACCCACAGTTTTTTACTACTACCCTCAGTCGAGATATAAAACTTTAAAGTGTGAGGTTTTTAGTCAACAGGGCGGCAAATGTCATTGAACAGTACTGTATTAGGGCTTTTTGTTGCGATCTTGTCAATTTAATTACGCTGTCTGAAAGAATCGTATAAATAGATAGTTTTTCTAAGTACCAATAAAAACTACCGGTGTAATTTAGTGATTCCCGCTATGTCTGTTGCCTCCGTTCTTTCTTTCAATCACACGCGACATCTCGGCGAGGATATGACGTATTGTCAAATCTTTCCTTCGAGTTGTCTAGTCTGTTTTAATAGACGTTCAGAAACGTTGTTAAATTAAACAATCAATAATTTGCATAGATGCTTGTATATATTTCGTAATATATAAGTGAATTTAACAGTTTTGTTAAAATCATAACTTACAGTAAAAATATTGATAAATGAGTTGATACTTATTCATATATTTCTTGAAGAATTATGAGCTTAAAAATTTTGATTATATTACGATTGAGCTAAAATGTTATTCAAAGATATTTTTGAAATTATATGATTATATATTATTTAATTAACATATACTTTTACAGAAAAGAAGAAGCAGCTAGTCGACCAAAATTGGAATTTGTTCCTAAAACACTCGCTGATCTACATGTAGACGTTGTATTACCTCTAGATACAATCAATGGTAAGTATTTGTATAAAATATGAATGTTTATCATTTAGTCACGCGCATAAAATTATTACGATTGTATTAAATAATATAATTTCAATGTTTATTTTTGTCAGTTCATCTCTCACTATTTATTAAGCGGAGCTCCGTAGAAAAAGGAAGTTTTCATAGAGAGAATATTATTTATGATTATAAAGTTTGTACTTCTGAATAAAATAGAGGAAAAGACATTTCTACTTTTGTACATCATAAAGCAATAGGTATGAGAGTTATGGAAACTAATTATCAGAATGTTATACCCATTACATTTAGTAGGTAAACCAGAGGGGCCTCAACTCAAAGGGGTATCAGCTCACTGAGTTGAAATGTGTGCATGTTCACCTCACCTCCCCCCTCACCCTGATCGGCCCGTGCGCTGTCGACTCCCCCCCCCCCTCTTACTAAGTTATACCGGTGCGTTCTACGCACTCCCCCATCCCCTACTGAGTTGATCTGATGTGGCGTGCGTTCTTCCCCCTCTCCCAGCCTACTGATTTAATTCCTATGCGCGCGTCACCTCCCCCCTCCTCCTACTAAGTTATACCGGTGCGTTCTACGCACTCCCCCCCGTACTGAGTTGATCTGATGTGGCTTGATTTGATGTGGCGTGCGTTCTCTGCAGCACTTCCCCCTCTCCCACTGATTTGATTCCTATGCACTACGCGCGCGTTCTGTGTTACGCGTTTTGATTTTTTTATTTTGTGTGTGTGTGTGCGTGTGTGTGTGTACGCGTGTGTGCGCGTGTGTTAAAAATTTTTAGATTTATCTGAAAAAAAAACGGACGGATCGGGGGATCGAACGCGCGTCCTCCGGATCCGCAGGCCGATGCTCTACCGCTAGAGCTACAGCCACTGTTACTACGGGCAATACCGTATTGTGTATACTATACTAGCTACACACGATTGATATGTGGGGGGCGGCGGCGGCGGCGCCGGCGGCTGCTGCTGCTGCTGCTGGGGAGGGCCCAAGCGCTAATACATACAAATGATAATAAATTTTAATAAATATACAAATTATAATAAATATTATACAAAAATATTTATTATAATTGGTATTGTGACGGTAAACGTCAAATTAGCGCTAATAATATAACCTAATTGCTGCCTGCGGGGGCAGCACCTACCGGGGAGACGAAAAACGTAACGAAGGAATTCGGCACGCGAGCAGACGGAACGCGCGCGATTGAAATTGAAGCAGTGAAGCTCTAACCATCATCACGCTCGCAAGTAAGTGAAGCGTTGTCCATCAAGGAGTTTGCCCGCGTAGGGAAGATCGACCATTACTACCCGAGTGACCGGAGCCGAATTTGATTCGAAAAGCAGCCAGACGAGAGAGCCAGAGATTGTCGCAGCCGAGGAGCCGTGCAACTCACGAAAGCGAAGGCCTGGACCAGCAGGAAAAATCACCGAGTGCAGCGATAACACTTGTGTGTGCGTGAGGTTTCGCCATCGAGGGCGAAACCGCGAGTTTATAAGTTCGCGACTCGCGACGCAACTAAACAATAGACTGTTTCTCGAGTGCGACTTACTAGTGTCATCGTCGGGCGCCCGCAAAACAAAGGTAAGCTGGCCAGCTTAATTTCGCGATCACGGTTGCATGTTTAACAGTTAATTTCTCGTGTTCGAAGCGTGCATGCAATAGCTCTGCTAACAAAGAGCAGCGAGCGTCCCGGCACTGTGTGTCCACGATGAACGAGCGCCGATGTCAACATGAACACGCGGGCCGACCTTATGTAGCATTTGATAGAGAATAAAAGATTCCGTTCGTGACATTAACAAGTGCTTTCGACTCGCTTATTCCATATTGCTTCCACTCACTTTTACAGATTACTAGATCTATTGGTTGACTGACGCCCGTTTCCCCATGCTCTCCGGATTACGTATTGAGCATAGATGATTACATTCGCCCTCTAATGAATCCGCGCGAATAAAAGTAATTAAACGGTTTCTACCCCGTTACAGTATATAACGAATAATAATTTTTTTATGTTTGATGTGCGCGCGTGTGTGTGTGTGTGTGTCTGATCGGTGAAATAAAAAAGACATATTATTATTAATAATTATTTATTATATAAAAAAATACAAGAAAATATTAAAAAATGTACAAAAAAATACAAAAAAATATAAAAAATGTACAAAAATTTATAAAAAAAACGACGCTGAGTTATCGTCACCATCATCGTCGTCGTCGTCGTCTTCGTCGTCGTCGTCGTCGTGATCAGCGGAAAATAACTTGGCAACTTTATAGCGCGGGGCACCGTCGACCGTTTCGTCCATGACGCACAGGCGCTTTTTCCCCGTGATGTGGAGATCCTGCATGAGCGCCGTTACAGGCGATCTCGCGGGCCTATTCAATGGACCTGGCGACGGCGATCGAGAAGGCTGGCGCACAGCGGGAGAACCTTCGGGACTACACGACCTCGATGAAAATAATCTGCGCACCACGTGTTTGACCTGCCCATTTCGATCGACGTGCCGCCTGCTGCCGCGCTGCGGTGGTGATTCCACCCACTGCGGTTGCCGACTGCAGCGACCAGCGGCGCAGTATACGCACTCCCAGCCCTCGTATACTGGCATGTTGTTGTTGTTGTTGTTGTTGTCGTCAACCTGCAACAAAAAAATGAAAAAAACTTTGAACAAACTACCGCCGATTGGAAAAAAAGAAAAGAGAAAAAAATCATACCTGTTCTCGTTAGCGGCAGGGCGTCTCTTGTATCTCTGGTGAAACTAAGTTCACCAAGAGCGGCTGTTGTGGCGTTATGATGTCGATGATCACAGGTGCTGCTCGAGGCGTCACCAGGTCGACGTGTGTCACGTGTCGTGATGATGGTGGTGGTGATGGTCGACGCGCGACAATCATCTCGCAGACCATCTCCAAGTCGTCGTCGTCATCGTCATCAGACCTGCAAAAAAAAGATTCTTTAATTGAAAAAAAAATCAATTCATATATCTATCTATATATAACAATATTCAACGTACACATTCACCGTTGGAAGTAATCGCAAGCTTGGAGACGGTGGTAGTAATTCAAGTGGCGACCGATGCCTGCTGTAATAGGAAACACATGTATAATAAAACTATGAGAGTAACAGCGATAACAACTACGACGACGAAAATCAGACATCGTAAAAAAAAGAACGCGATCCAAAAACAAAACAAGAAATTCTAACTACGTGAGAGAAAGGGACATTAAATTTGAAATTGGAAATACTCTCTCTCTCATATACACACGTACATACATATTATATAACGAATAATACAATATTATTCAATGAAAAAAAAGAACAGAACCTCTTTTTTTAATGTAAAGAACATATATGCTCTTATTATTGTAAAAAATTTATGTATAACTAATACCATTATATTGATAAATTAATAAAATTTAAATATAATTGTGTTATTAGTATAATGGTATTAATTATATATAAAATTTTATAATAATAAGAACATATCTATTTACATTTTAATGATTTTGTTCTTTATATTATAAAAAATAGAATGAAAGAGAGAGAGAGTAAAAGAGAATGAAAAAAATAGGCACTTACAATAATAATATCGTAGGTGGAGGTGTCAGCGGCATCCGTATTGTTGCCGCTTCGTGGATGTCGTCGCCGTTTCTCCTCGGCGAAGGTGTTCGCGGCTGCTCGACGACTTCGTCCACCGCTGCTTCATGTGCTGGTAAATTATTCACTCCAAAGACTTCGTCATCTTCGTAAAGATCGACGTCCTCACCAAGTGCTTCTATGGCTTGAATTATTGCCTCTTGCCACGACACATCGTCCGGCGAAAACAATTGTTCCAACAATTCATCACTCACTGCACTATCGTTTTCACGCTGCATTTTTCTTCACTGAACTTAACTTCACGACAAAAAAAATCACAATGACGTATCGTTGCAAGGCGTTCGAATTTTATTCATTTTTGAAACACTTGCCGCGTTTCGGTCATTGGTTGAAGATTTGGGAGTAGGGACGCGAGACTACGCGATAGCACTGATTTTGTCGCGCGCATAAGACGATCATAATCAGTGGTGGGAGTAGCTAAAGAAAATGTGATTAGTGCGGAGAAAAGACGCCAATGTGTATTAATATAGGATCGCGATAGCGCGTACGCTCTTTTTTTCTCACGCAACGGACGAAGAGTAGATGGTGGCAAGTCATTGGTAGTGACAAGTTGCAGCGAATGAACGATCGGCCCTTTTCTGGGCCACTTTTTTTTCAAGTTGACGAAGCTGTACAATCCCGACAGTTAATCGATATCATGATCAGATCAGATAAATTTAAAACAGCACTTTTCAGTGCTAAATTTTCAATAAAAAACTTATATTATTTTTCTATAAATCAGCACTTTTCAGTGCTATTCAAACGTATGGTTAAATATAAAATAGACTAACTATTTGTTTAATAAAAAACTTATATAATTTTTTAATAAATCAGCACTTTTAAGTGCTATTCAAACGTATGTGCAAATATATCGTAGCCGTAAAGGTAAGTACTAAAACAATAACAATTTGAAATTACGAATAAATTTAACCTTGTGTTTTTCTTTATTCTTACCCCCTCCATTTTCAGCGAAACGAGCAGGAAGTATAAGGTAAGTATTTTTTTTAATTAGTTAAAAAATTAGTTTTTAATTATTTTTTTAATTAGTTAAAAGTATTTTTTTAATTAGTTAATCAATATAATACTTAAAATATACAAAATTAAAAATAGTTCCTTTAATTCAGTGTACAAAATAATATTAAAAAAATGATAAGTTTTTTCCTAAATCATAAAGTAATATACAGTTAGTATGCACTATCTTTAGAAAGAGCGACAATGACTCAGACGGTAGAGCACTGTCGTATAAATGCAAAGGAGGCTAGGTTCGATTCTCCTGTATGTCTATTACCGAAAGATTATTACGAGAAAAAAATTCGATAAATAATGTTACTAATTTTTTCTTATAGAGTATTAGATGTAAACAATTAATTATTTA